TCGGATCATATGCGTTGAGGAAGTGTCAGGCGAAACGTCCGGCCCGCCCTGCGGACACGCTTGGGGGTGCGACAGAGAGGAGTTAGGTATGAGGAGAAGGGGTGGAGGAGGATGAGGAGGAGGAGTTTGGGGGATGCAGGAGAGGATGATGGAGGAGGAGGAGGAGGACCAGTGGAAACCCTCTATTCATCAATGATGTTTGAATGTGCCCTCCCTCCAAGCTCCCTCTTCAAGGGCCGCACAAGGGTTGATTTCCACTGGGGGAACTGCCTCATTGGGAGACAACCTTTTTTGAAGTCCCTGAAGCGTGTCATCACACCATTCTCGGGACTCCAACGCCCCAAATCAACATGACTGTTGCCCCTTGACGATCCTGAATCGTGCCAGGACACGAGTCCTGGGACTTCAACACCGCGAATCGACGTAACTGTTGCGCCCTCACAACTTTCCAGAGCGCCACTTCTGGCACGCTGACCATGGGAATCCGTGGAACTCCTTTGAATGTGTAGAACGAACGTGCGCGGCGCTCAGGCTCGGAGCCGCCCTAAATCCGCGAACTTCTTGCAATGTTTCAACAAGACTGCGCGCGGCGCTCAGGCATAAAAAACGACTTGACTTCAATCCAAGAAGACCTTGCAATTTTTGAAAACGAATGTGCGCGGCGCTAAGACGAGAGCCACATTATTTGTTTTTCAATCTGTCAAACACTTCTAAGTTTTCAAAAAAGAACCTGCGCGGCGCTAAGGCGAGAGCCGCATTTTGAAAACGAACCGCCTTCAATCCGTAAAATCTCCTACAATCGAATATGTTCAGCGCTGAGGCGAGAGCCACACTTCGAAAACCGGCCGCCCTCCATATGTGAAATTGTTGCCAGCTTCTCAGCTTCAGGACCACGAATGGTGAGGAAGTCTTTGGCGAAACGCCCGGCCCGCCCTTTCAACCGGCCTTGTGATGCGACAAAGAGGATATCCATATAAGGAGAAGGAATGCAGGAGGAGGAGGAGAAGGAGGCGGAGGAGGAGGCGGATGGAGGCGGGGCGAGGGGGAGGAGGGCTCGGATACGGAACTGTCGACGGTGCAGCGCTCCATGCTTACGATCAGCAACGCGGCCGAGGAGGAGGAGAAGGAATTGCATCGAAGGGGGGAGGAGGAGGAAGGAAGAGGAGGAGGAGGAGGAGGAGGAGGAGGAGGAGGAGGAGGAGGAGGAGGAGGAGCAGGAGCAGGAGGAGGAGGAGGAGGAGGAGGAGGAGGAAGAGGAGGAGGAGGAGGAGGAGGAGGAATATGACCACTGTAAACCCAAGACTCATCATCGATGTTGGAGTACACCCTCCCTCCAAGTTGATGGCCCAAGGAGCTCAAATCGGCTCAAGGACTGCACAGTTTACACAGATTCCGATACAGCAAGCACAGCATGGCCATGGCGGTTCCCAGCGTATGGCAAGCTCGGCATGCCAAGCGGCACGAAGCAGTCGCGCGAGAGTCAAAGATGGCCAACCAGCGCTTCGACCGGATCGAGTCGGCAATGAGTGAGATTCTGAGCAATATCGACATGCTGACAAAGAAACTGGCGGTATCATCCGAGATCGAGGTGCGCACGCCATCAACAAATTCAGATCTAAGCCGGGAGACAAGGATCAACCGGGTCGAGTTTTTCCTCTATCGGACTCCAGTGGCAGAATTCCAAGACATTGACATGATGATTGACAAGATCATGCCGAAGACAATCGAGCGCAACGCAGAGCTTCAGATGGAGTTCATCCCCGATCGGCTCAATCACAGCCCGGCGGCAGAATACGGAATACCCGACCACACCGAGGATATTCAGAAGACGCTCAACTTCGACGCAGCGGGTATGACGGAGGAGGCGCGTGAGGATCCGAACCCGAGCCTAATTTCCGTGAAGTTCGAGTCCGAGGAGAACAAGACAGCCAACAAGATCCGGATCCAGAGCCGAGCCCGATTTCCGTGAAGTTCGGGTCCGAGGAGAAGACAGCCATCAAGATCGGGACTGCCGGGGACGCCAAGATAGTTGAGGAGACCCGACAGGCAGAGGAGGATGATAACGACACCATTGAGGAGGCCTCCGGCGACGAGAAGATGAGCTTGGGCAGTGGCGATGACGAAGTGGACCCAGCTGACGGTGCACCTGACTGCTTCAAGCAATATGCCGAGAAAACGTTAGCACGCTTGGACAAGATAATCGACGAGGCTAAGGGGAAGTACCGCCAGTACAGCAGCGAGCCGGGATCGTGACCACAAACTTTCGTGTAATACCTCTTCTGAGTTTCGGGGCTTAGGCCCCCCCCGGTAGCTCCCTCGCGGAGCCGATACGCCGGCGTCCGTCCGTCCGTTCGTCCGTCCTCCCTCTAAGCTTCCTCGTCAAAGGTCCCTACAAGGGTTGACTTCCACTAAGGGAAGTGCGCCGATTGGGGGCAGCCTTGTGAAAACCCTGAGACGTGCCAAAACGCCATTCTCAGGACATCAGCGCCGCGAGTCAACCTGACTATTGCGTCTTGACGATCCAGAATCGTGCCAGAACACCGTACCTGGGACTTCAACACCGCGAATCAACGTAACTGTTGCGCTTTGACAATCCCGAATCGTTCCAACGCGCCATGTCTGGAACGTTGACCAGGAGAACTAACGAAATTCTTGCAACTTTTTGACACGAGTGTGCGCGACGCTCAGGCGAAAGCCACGTATTGAAAACGAACCCCTTCAATCCGTGACGCCCTTACAAATGTTGAAAACGAATGTGCGTGGCGCCAAGACGGGAGCCACATTGTGAAAACGACCTGTCCCCAATCCGTGAATCTATGTGCAATTTGTTGAAACGAACATAGGCGGCGCCACGGCGAGGGCCACATTTTGAAAACCACCTGTCCTTAATCGGGGAAAGGTTTATGTGCGCGGCGCCATTGCGAGATCCACGCATTGAAAACGACATGTCCTCAATCCGTCAAACATTTGGCAAATTATGCAGCGAACGTGCGCGACACCCAGGCGAGAGCCACATTTTGAAAGCGACCCGCCCTCCATCTGTGAAATGGTTCCCAGTTCTTGAGCTTCAAGCTCATAGCGCAATGAAGTCTGAGGCGAAACGCCCGGCCCGCCCTTCCGACTGGCCTCGGGGTGCCACAGGGGGGGTATTCATAAGGAAAAGGAATGGAGGAGGAGGAGGAGGAGGAGGAGGAGGAGGAGGAGGAGGAGGAGGAGGAGGAGGAGGAGGAGGGAGGAGGAGGAGGAGCATTGAGAATGAAGGATTGGAAGGAGAAGGAGGAGGAGCAGGAGGAAGAGGAGGAGGAGCATGCAGGATGAGCGCGGAGGAGCACTGCTGGGAGGGATGCCCGCCGCATCCGCGCTCCCCTTCCGCCCGCGCACAGGACGTAAAGTACAAGACCCAGGATATTGGGCCCCGCCGAGCCCCGCGACCGCCGCCGCCGCCGTTGCCGCCGCCGTTGCCGTCGTTCTGTCCGTTGTCGTCATCGTTGACGTCGTTCTCTTCGTTGTCGTCATTGGTGTCGTCGTCGTCGTGGTCGTGGGTCGTCGTCGTCGTGGTCGTCGTCGCTCATGTCGTTCTTATCGTTCTCGTCGTCGTCGTCTTTTTGGTCGTTCCTCACCTGACCGCTTGCCTCCTCCTGCTCCCTCCCCCGACCCCCCCTCACCCCTTCCCCTCTGGCCCCCAGCAATCGCTCAGTGCGAACACTGCCCTCCTCTCTCTTCCCCGAAGACGTCCCGAAAGAGTCGCGCGCCCCCCTCCGCGTACCGCTTCTACACAGGATGGGTCCGAGTTGGATGTCTATGTGTGTTGTTCCATTCTCCTCCTCCTCCTATGTGTCTCTGTGTCTTCTCCTCCTCCTTCCTCCTCCTCATCATCTGCATCATTATCATCATCATCATCATCACTACCATCATCATAATCATAATCATAAGCATGATCAGTATCATCATCATCATCGTCATCATCATCATCATCATCATCGTCATCATCATCGTCATCGTCATCATCATCATCACCATCATCGTAATCAGCATCATCAGCATCATCATCATCATCATCATCATCTTTATCAGCATGCATCATCATCATCATCAGCATCATCATCATCATCGTCATCATCATCATTCTTCGGAAATCACCAATAACGCAATCAGTAGATGGCCCCATTCAGTTTTGGAAATGTTCTGGCGTTATCGCTTCTTAGAGCATTCGTCGGTGCAAACCGGCCCACGAGGCGCCCGTCGACGGCCCAAGACGGTCTCAAGGTGGTCCCACGACGGCCAGAAGAGACCGTCGGGACGGCGAGGGGGGCCCCAAGACGGCTCAAAAGAGCCCGAAGATGGCGCTGTGGGTTTCGGAGAGCATCCGTGTACGAAATTTCCGGACGTGCCAATGAATTGTGTCGAAACGAGGCTTGGATGGAGGCGCGGCGTCTCAACGCTGAACTGCAAGACGGGCATATAAATACATCAGGACAGGGTGTCATCATGATGCAATGCAGTCAGTGCGTGCCCTAAAAACGAATGGGCGAGGGGTAGAAATATGCAGGAGTGCCCTTTCGGGCATCGAGGCGGACACAAGGCAACCAGTCCTCGCTCGCCAACCTCCTCCTCCTCCTCCTCCTCCTCCTGGACGAGGGATCGATGAGGTTTTCGGGGTATTTCTGGGCGCCTTCGGGACCCCTGGGGCGTTCTTGGGCGTCTTGGGGGTCCGTGCCCTGGATGTGGTGGCGGCCTCCTCAGTGGTCCCCCCCGTGTGGCACTGCCTGGATGGAGCTGTTCGGTAGTAAATCCTGGGATCCTTGTTTGTCCTCGGGGTTCCGTCTTTAACGTGCATTCGCGTGCGCTGGGTCTGGCAGTCGATGAGAGAGCGCCGATTTAGCGTCGATCTGGTTAGCGTCGCTTAGCGTCGATGAGCGTCGATTCGCAAGAGCCAGCAAGATGGCACGGGAGGCTCCCATGAGTCGCCGTCTAAGCTTGGCGCTGTCAGGATGGGGGAGGGTCTGCTCGGCAGGAGGCCGCCAACCGGGACAAGGAGACAGCCGAGGGCAAGACGGACCGCGCCGGCGTCCAGAAGGAGCTCGACGCCGTGCAGGCGAGCGGGCGCGACGACGAGCACGACGGCGAGCACGACGGCGAGCACGACGGCGAGCACGACGTGACAGCAAATCCTGGGAGCCTCGTGTGTCCTTGTGATTCCGTCTTGAGAGTGCATTCGTGTGCGCTGTCGTCTGGTAGTCGATGAGAAAGCGCCGATTTAGCGTCGATCTAGCGTCGTCCTAGCGTCGATGAGCGCCGACTCGGCCTCGAGTAGCGTCGATCTAGCGTCGATTGGCGTCGATTGGGGTCGCCGATTCAGTGTCGAATTAGCGTCGATCTGGCGTCGATTGGCGTCGCTTTGGCGCCGAGTCAGCGTTGACTCGCGTCGATCAGCGTCGATTCGCCAGAGCCCGCAAGACGGCCATGGGAGGCTCCCGTGAGTCGCCACCGAGGCCGGGGGGGCGCCCGTCGCCGCCACGGCCACGTCTGCCCTCTGGAAGTCCTCGTAGGGTGTGGTGCGCCCTGGGGCCGGCCCGGGCCGAAGGCGCTTGGCGGCGGCGGGTGCTTTGGGCGGCGGTCGGTATCGCTGGGCCCGTTGGGCGGGGCTCGCTCCTGGCTCGAGGAGGCAGCGAGCACGCGGAGTAGCGCGCGACTGAAGATGTCGTTCGGGGCCTGGCACAGGGAAGAGGTGACGAGTTCAATCTTTGTCGCATAACAGAGGACGGATCTATCGCGGTGGCAGCTGGACGGGCTTCTGGCTCGAACGGGGAGGGAACGGAGGGGTGCAGGGTTTCTCCGACGGGCTTAGGCGACCCGTCCTCCCTCCTCCTCCTCCTCCTCCTTCTCCTCCTCCTCCTCCTCCTTCCGTAACAATTTTGGCTCAAGGCCAAGTATCACTGCCTCCACGGGGTAGGCTCCCACAGGCCTCGGCTTTCCGCGCGCTGCCACCACCAGGGACTTGCAGCGGCCCGCCTGTTTTCCTGCTCATCGCACTGGCCTGCCAGGCGGCCATCCATATTATCCATATTCTGTCGGACTGGCGTCCCAGTCAACGTGGCATGCCCAGCTCTTCCGACGAGGACCGAAACACGAACCGCAGCCAACAACGTCGTCGCAAGAGAGGTGCCAAACGTCGTCGAGCCACCACTGTCGCAGACATCGTCACGCTCATGGCATCAGTTGCCGGGAAACAAACGACCGCTAGATCGGGACGCTCGTCGGCAAGACCAGACCCTTCCAGCTTTCCTGGTGGACAGCAGCCAAACCCCATCCAGCAGTCTTACCCGTGGCGACCTCGTGGACCACTCCAATTCGACGCCGAGCAGCAGCACGCCATCGAGAGGGACTTGGGAGCAGTCCCCACCTTGGCATCGCAAGTTGAAGGCCCCGCTCAAAAAACTGATGATGTCCCTGCCACTCCCGTCGGTGGCTTTCGCACGCCGGTCGTTGACCGTTCTCCCGTTCGGCTACCTGGGCTTCCTGCGGACTTCGACCGCGCACTTCAAGATCTCATGTAGCACCAGATGTCCCAGGCAGTGGGCGCATTCAAGCAGCAGGCAGATAGCCTCCTGGACCAGTCCCGTGAGAGTTTTCGCCAGCTCCTTCATCAACAAGTACAACAACCTGAGCGCAGGGTGGATTGCCTCCAAGACCAGGTGGCGAACGCCAAGCGCGAACAAGATCGCCAGGCAGCTGAACAGAAACATATGTGGATGGATATCGACAAGGTGCGCGACGCCCTCGCGCTCGCGGAGGCCCAGCTCCCCAGCGCGCAGCTCTCCGGGCTCTCCATCGGTGCCCAGCGGCTCATGTCGCCCAATGTTGTCTTCAACGACCTTCACGTATGGATCGCAGACGCTGGCCTCAAGCCCGACCAAGTGGAGCTGCATGGCAACGCCCCCGCCAGGCGCTTCATCCTGCAGGTCAAAGGCGCTAGGGAGGTGGCCATCCCACGAGCTCTCGCCCTTCAACGTGCCCTTCGAGACGCTGCTGGCAGATGGAGGCTAATCCACGGACGCCGACGGGCAATGGCTCGACATCTTCCTCAACCCCGACAAATCCCCCAAACAGATCCGCATAGAGATCCATTGCGAGAAGCTCCAGCAGCTCCTCGCCCGGCGTCTCCCACAGCTGCGCTGGCGGGCACTGCGCGCGAAGGGCGAGATCCTCTGCGACGCGGTCCCGCTGGCGCGACTCAGTCTCAAGGGCCAGGCCGACCCCGCCATCCTCGAATGGAACGAGCGCGCGCTGGCGAACCGTGATCTCAACTGCCTCAACCGCGGCGTCGTCCCCACAGCCTTCCAGGCCCTCTTCGCGGACACAGAGACAGCAACGCGGTGTGCCCAGCCGCCCGTGGGCCCCGTGGGGCGAGGTGGGCACTTCCATGCCGCGCTCATCATCGGCTGGAACGCTCGCGCCCTCGTGTGTTCCAGGCCCCGCAGGCGGCGCCGCAAGCAAGCGGCGCTCATCGAGTGCATGCGCAGCATTCGCGTCATCCTGCTACGGGAGGTCCACGGCTCCGAGGTGCTCATCCGCACCTGGCTGGACGCGCAACCGCGCCCGTGCAAGCTCTTCCTCTCCGATTTCGCGACAGACCCCGAGCGCGAGGCGTCCCCCTCGACTGGTGGCGCTGCTATTCTGATCACTTGGTTCACGCAAGCGCAGCTAGGGCTTCGCCGCCCCGACCAGCTGCCCGTCTTCGAGCATGTCTCGCTGGCGCCTGGGCGCGTTCAGCAGCTGGTCACTAGCAGTTTGAACGCAGGGCGCTCCCCTGCCATCAGGAACATCCACAATCGTGGACTTCATGCGCGTGACAGTGACGGGGTCCGCGCAGCTAGGCGCGTGCTCCGCGAATGGGCCGCTCGCGATTGCACCGCGCGCGCCTTCTTGGCCGCGGGCGACGTCAACGCCGCCGGCCGCCCGCCGAGCAGCTTCAACCAGCCCCGGGCGATGCGCGCGCGCCTCCAGCTGGGCAGCGACGGCCGCCAGCAGCGGCCCTCCTGGAAGGCCCTTCTCCGACTCCATGTTGGAGGTGGAGTCCGAGCTTCCCGCGCGCTTCAACAAGGCAGACTACGCAGCCTCCTCCATCGACCGCGCGTTCATCGGCCTCCCCTCCCGCGCGGCGCAGGGGCTCGCGATGGCTGTCCACGTGCTGCGCGACCCCGCCATTCTCTCTGACGAGCGCCTCGTCGACCGCGGCGTCATCTCCTCCTCGATCGGCATCGAGCCGCGCGCGCCGCCGGCCGAGCAAGCCATTCTGCCAGCTGTGTTTCGCGACCCCAAGTACGCCACCTACCTGCGGAACATCGTCGACGCTGCGGACGCGCAGCGCCTGCCCATCGAGATGCGTTGGCCCGGCGCAGGCGCTGCATGTCAGGGGCTGCCCGCGTGGTTCGCGGCGACTGGGTCCGCCTCAGCTCGGGCGACCTTTCCAAGCCGGGCTTCTTGGGGCGGCGGGGTCATCGCCGTGCGCTCGATCTCGCGGGCGGTCTGGCGACAGGGCGCGCAGCTGGCACGACGGCTTCGCGCCGCTACTGAGCTGGGGAATCGCTTCCTCGACGTCGGCTCCCCGATCCTCGAGCCCGCCGACGGCGCCCAGTTCGCGCGCCTCTCGCCCTCCTCGCGCCGCGACTTTGGGGCGCGCCGGCGCTCTCTGGCGCAGCGGGCAGTGAGGCTCCCGCGGGGCCGCCCAGAGGCCTTGCCTGCCCCCTGAGAAGCTCCAGAGGGTGTTGCGGGTCTTCGCCTGGCCAGGACAGCTTGCCGCGCAACTCTTGGATCGCCCGCGGCCGCTCGCTCTCCATCCTGGCGGACTTGGCTCTGCGCCTCTGCTCGGGGCATTCGATCCCCCGTGACCTGAGCGACTAGGACTTCGCGTGTCTCCCGAAGGGCGACGCCTCCTGGGCGAGCTCGCGACGGATCGCCCACCCGAAGACACTCGGCCACTCTCGCTGAAGAACACGGATATCAAAGCCATCGCATGCGCCGCGAAAACCTCATAACGCCGTTCGTGGCCGAGCGGATCCACAGGGCGCAGCAGGGCTTCTTCGTGGGCAAGAATTTCACGCAGCGCATCGTGCGACTGGACGCAGACATGCGTCGCGTTGGTCTCCTGGAGAATGCCGTGGAGCGCCAGCCCATCTTCGTCGGCTTCGACTTCGCAGCCGCATCCCCCTCTCTTGGCAGAGCGTGAATTTTCAAAGCGTGCGCCGCTGCGGACAGCCGACGGGCTACGTGCGTTTGTTCGAGGCCATGTGCTGCGCGCCCATCTCCTCGGTCGAGGTCGACGGCGCGCGCCGCCCCGCGTTCGCCGCCGAGCCGGGCGTGGCCCAGGGCTGCCCTGCGAGCGGGTCCGCCTGGGCGATTCGGCGCATGCGCGGGCGACCTTGGCATCGCGCGCGAATCCACCGGAGTGGTCCGCAAGTTGAATGAGGCCTTTGATGCCGCCGTTCGCCTCGCACTCCTCGCGCTCAAGCCGTGCAAGTGTGTGGCTGTCCTCTCTCTGGGCTGCAGCGTCGCCTGCCGCCGTTGTCCGCGCCCGGGGCCTGCTGTCCGCGCTCGCGCCCTCCTGGCGCTCGTTTTCGATCGAGGGGCGTTCCAAATGCTTCGAGATCTTCCTCGGCCCATCGACCTCCCTGGTCGACCAATAGCACGCCCGTGGGCAGAAATGGCGGCAGCGCGCTCATTCGCTTCAGCATGTGCGCTCTGGAAGCGACGCCGCGGCTCGTCTCTGCAACGCATCAGTGTTTCTACTTTCAGCTATGTGAGCCAGTTCTTTCCAGTTCCCGCATCCATTCCATTGTGCGCCGCGAGCATTCCATTTTCCACATGGTGCTAGGCCTGCCTCCGAACGCTTTCCGCAAGGTAGACCTCCTCGCGATGGCGGATTGGTCGCCGCCGCCAGTGATTCGATCGCTACGGGTCATGTCTGTCGCAGTTGCCGCCCGCGCTGCGCCCCGCGCGTTGGTGGAGCCTTGGGGGCTCCACTTCGCTCGCCCCCGCGACGCGGCGTGGGGGGAAATTTCAGTTTTCTCTTTCAATCGCTAGTTGGACACGCTGCGGTCTCCCAGCTCCTGGGGGCAACCGCGCGCCATTGCGCGGTGCTGCGCCCGGCTGCGAGACGTGCGGCGCGCGTCCCCATTCGCGCCAGCTATGATGCAAGAAGCTCACCGCGTAGCGCTGGCGGACAGGGTTTTGGCTTCGGAAGCTCATCCGCCGCGCCGCCACCACTTCCAACGAGCCTTCCCTACATATCTTTGCAAGGCTGCATTCGCATCGCCCTTTCGCGGTCGCCCTCGCAGAGCGGGTCGGCGCGTGGGGCCTACATATCGAACCTGCTCTACTGGCCGACGCAGCGTTTGCCCGAGCTGGCGCCGGGCGACCCTCGAGGCCCTGGCTGGCGGGCGGGCGACCACCGCCCGCATGCGCGTACTCGTGCCCCGCAGCTGCGTGTTCGGCTGCTGCGAGCAGCCAGGTTTATCTCCCCTCTAGGGCCGTCTGGGAGCGTCGACGAGCCGACAAAGCGAGAACGCCACAATCTTTCAACAACCGAAGGGAACTCAATGACTTTGGCCTCTTGGAGGCCTCTTTGGTCGTCGTGGAGGCATCTTTGGTCGTCTTGGAGGCCTCTTGGGCCGTCTGGGGGCCATCTTCAGCGTCTTGGAGCGATCGTTCGGCGATTCGGGGTCCTCTTGGACTGTTTTGGGGGCTTCTTGGGACCTTCTGGGCTTGTTTTCGGGGCCCTGTGGGGCTCGAAATATTCATGCGGGAATATTCGGACCCCAGGGGAACCGCGCCGCGCCTCCAGAGATTTGGGCCGAAGGACTCCGAACCCCTAAATGCTGCTCAGAAGTGGGGACTGAGGCTCTTGACGACACGCCCACTCCATGCCCAGAGGCACTGTGGCGGATAAAGATCCAGGTCTCCCAAATAGGGTCCGAATAGATAAGTTCGGAGGATCGCGACGCATCGCCGATGCATTGGCGATGCGGCGTGATCCTCCTGCCCCATCTGCTCCGGCTCCGTCCGGGAGGCCTCTTAGGGTTCCCAGAGCCAGCTGTGAAGCTGTAAAGACCAGGGTCGCGCTGGGCTCGAATCCACATTGGGCGCGCGACGCTGGGCGCCTCGTGCTCCTCCTGCCTTCGCGGCTGCCCTTTCGGGGCCCCCAGACGGGGTGGTGACCACACCGTGTGGTGAGTCGGTGGGGATTCGGCGTCACAGCACGGTTTTGGGATTCGGGTCGTTCTCCGAGGACGTCTCGGGCGACTGGGGCATCCGAGGTCCCCAAACCCTGCGTTGACGGACCGTGCGGTGAGGTCATGGGGAACTTCGAGGTCACCGCACCGTTTCGGGACTCCAAAGCACTCCTTCCCTCGCCCCTCCTCCCGCTCCGGGAGCTGGAGCTCGTGCTTCGGTTTGCCCCGCGATGCACTTAGCCCGCCCGCTGTGGCTCGATTCCCTCAGTCGCCCGCCTGCTTGGCATCGCTCGGACGCGTGCGTTTTTTTTGTTCGTGTGTGTGTGTGTGTGTTTTACATTTTTTTTTTTTCTCTCTCTCTCTCTCTCTCTTTGTCTTTCCTTTCGGCGAAGACCATCGAGGAGCATCCTGGAACTTCTCGCGAAAAAAAAAACGCACGGAACCTAAACATGCCCAGGTAATCCTTTTTTATGCATTGTTTTGCCGATCGGCGCGGGCTTTCGGATCCCCCTCCCCCCCCATTGGAGTAGATCTTGGCTGTTTTGGCCGCGTGTTTCGAGCAGGAGGAGCCTCCCCCGTAATGGACGCACTGCTGCGAACGACCGCACTAAGCAGAGGAACGGAACCAGACCCCCCCTGACCCCCCTTTTCGCCCAATGTCGAAGCGCCGAATCTAAAAACGCTCACCAGGGAGAGGACTTCCCAGCGATGGCTTGCCAGCCCCCCCCTCCCAAACAGAAAACCCACCCCTGGCCTGCTGGGAGCACAACTCGCCGAAGTGAGCGTCCTGCGCAGACAAGAGAGCGACGCCCAGCTCTCAGGGGGGTCGTGGCCACCATGCTTGAGTCGGGCCCGTCCCTCTACATGAGGAATATTCAAATATTCTTAATTTTCCGCCCCAGATCCCCCTGTGGGGGGACCCGCCCGACCTAACACCATGCCCGACGAGCAGACCCGCTCCTGGTCTTCTGGCAGCACCATCCTGAAGGCCCGTGGCGTCATCATGCCGAGTTCTGCTTGTGAGGGAGGAGGAGGAGGGAGGAGAAGGAGGAGGAGGAGCAGGAGGAGGCCTCACTCCTCCCGGCTCCTCCCCCCCATCCTGCGACAGGCCGTCCTCAAGAGCCTCCACTCGCAGTGCGACGAGGCGGTCACTCCCTACGAGGAGCACCGCCGTCGCTCCCCTCCCCCTCTCGGTAGCCTTAAATCGGGCGTGTCCCTCTACAGGGGGAATATTCAAAAATAGCCAAGAATAGTTTGGGGACGACTTTT